CCCCAAAACCCCAAAACCCCAAAACCCCATAAGATTAATCTTGGAGAATTATAGAGTTATTAAAATAATGACATAAGAATATTTGTTAACTTTTAAATTATACCAATAAAATAATAACCAATAGTTAATTCCAAAATAGGTGGCATCATTTAATGTAATGACATTCATCACTTCTAGGATAGCGCTTGATTAAGTTCATCATCATTTTCATAGCATTGTTCATCATTAGGCATAATATCTGCTATTGTTAAATCATTGGGAAAAGTGTTAAAGTTATCATTAGTTGAGTCATTGAAATCTCGTCTCTCATCTTGATATTCTTCTACTCTTGGCTGCTAATTCAAATACATGGTCTGATTAACTAGATCTCTTATCTTTGAGTCAAGTCTGTTAGGCTTCTTGGGAGTGATCAAAGTATTTTGCGATATCTGCTAGCTTTGATAGTAGTTTGCTTCCTAAGATAAATAGTTAATCTAAGCTTTGCTTTGATTAGAACTGCTTTAGTTATTGCATTCCAGCTATGAATAATATTGAGCTTCGACAGATGATTTATCAAGTTGTGGAGTATAAATGGTGTGCTCAATCATAGGATTATAAGAGTCATTCTAATTTGTCGTATTCATAGTTCCGAGGTTGTATATAGTCTTATTAGCAGATTGTGATGCTTATCTCTCCTTTGATTTTGAAGCTATTCTTAAAGACTTTCTTGAAGGCTTTAATTTCTTAAAGTTGTGAATAGGAGTGGATTAGTTCTGTTGAGTATTTCTACAATAGCTTTCCTACGAGATGTAAACTGGCTTTTCACTATCTTTATATTATATAATTGCATGTTGAGATAAATGGACTTCTTCATTCTGATTATAGTCAATCTCATTAGTATTAATTGGATTGGATTCGAGAAATTCATTATTCTCTATTTGATCAAATTGCTAGCTACTATGCTATTTTCTGTTATCAAATATCGGGGTCTATGCTTGAAAAGTGACCCAGGAATCGTTTCTCCTGCTCTAGAGTAAACTATTGTTGCCATTGTGAACTCCAAATGAACTCTCATTAAATGCTGACACGTCATCCTACCTGACATTTTCTATCTATTCAGCTGCATTTATATTTTGCATGGTATCTTCTTAGAATTACATTTCTTTGTCATCGGTTTATTGCAAGTATTTATGAAATTCATTTTAAGACTAGACTTACTCACTTCTGACTGTTTTAGATGAGATTTTAGATGATTTATTTGATTTAGACTCAATCTGAGATGGGCCTACTTAATTCATTGCTTCTTGATTTCTATTGATGATTTCCTAATCCCTCTTTGATTCAAGAATAAGAGGCATATTAGCTATTAATTGCTCATCGCCCCCATATTTTTCAATTGCATCAATTCTTGCATAAAGTCTTGCCTAAACAATATATTAAAAAAGATAGTTATTTTACCTTTGAATCGGGATGTCTCTTTTCTTTGTCAAAACATTCCTTTACAAATATCTCAATTTTTAACTTTGGTAGTTCAGGATATTTCTATTTTATCTATTCCTAAAGTTACTTTTTTGAGAGAATACAACCATGAGCTATTTCAATCAGATCATTTATATAATCTTTTATTTGAGCTTTTTGCTTGTCCAAGTCTTGATCTCTTGCTAATTTAAATACTCTGATTGGAAATCCTTCAATTTATTATTGATCATTTTAATCTTGATTCATGCTCTGTCTTCTACTTTCATCTCTCTTCTTAGATCTTACAGTTAATAAAGGTCTTCTAAATGCTACAGCTTTGAAGTTACTTAAATCTGAATTCTCATAAGTGTTGATATAAGTTCTCTAAATTATATTAGACTTGAGCCTGTTCTCCTCTCTTTCAAGTTATCTTCTCAATAAATCTCTTCTATTCTAAACGAATTTAGTTTCCTCATAGTCATCTGGCTGGAATGAATCTTGCGAGTAATCTTAAGAGTGATAGTCATCTGCAACAATGAATCCTTCTCTTCTTAGCTCTGGATCATCCTAATTTAGCTCTGAATTTTCTTCTTCTGCTAAAAGATTGTCATCTTCAAGATTGTCGCAGTGTATTTCATGCCACTCATCATCACTATTTTGATCATAGTCTATGCACTAGAAATCCATTTCAAATGGATTTCTACAGGAAAGGTTCTGGCTCTTTTTAAAAAACTAGTCTCCATTATAACTCATTCCAGAATTGTAAATAATAATATGCTTTAATCTATGCAAGTTATTAGTTTGTCTAAACTCTTATACTTCTTATTGGCTTGTTTATTAAAGCAGATGAACTAATTCTTCAAGATTATTAAGTGACCAGCTAGGTGAAGAGTTATTTTGCTATATTTTCTTAGAAACTGGCTCATAATTATTATTCTTGAATGAGATATATGGATTTTTCACAAAACCTTCATTTTCGTTTTTCTACATCAGATTTGAGAGTGAAACTGATTATTTATTTTAAATTACTGGGAAAAAGCTCATTATACTCTTAATAGCCTGCTATTTTTGTGGAATAATCTTCGATAATTGAGCAGAATTATCTATTTAAGCTACTTCTTCAATATTTTTTTTTTCCTAAGCCAATAATTCTGATTGTTTATCTTCATCATCATCGGTCAGTTTAGCTCTTGACTAAAATCTGTTTGATTTTGAGTTTTTAGAAGATCCATTTTGAGATTAATTAGAGGAAAATGGGTTGCTTACTTTAGAAAGTTCATTATCTAGCTGTAATTTTTTAGATTCATTATCATCGATCTCTCTTTTTCTCTTCACTAGCTCTCCTTAAGACTCTTTGATAATGACTAACTAATAATTCTGATATTCTTATTCAAGTTTAGCTATTTTTTCGTCATTTTCAAAAGTATTGATATCATCTACCATATCTATAATTTATGACAATATCTAGACCTTTTTTCCTACTACTGCTCTTTATTACTTGATTTTCTTTATTTTACTTTCACTTACAATTGGATTTATCCATGAATTATTCACCAACTCCCAACACCACAAAGATTTTGGATTCTCATCAGAATAAATTTATTAGTTCTTTGTTTTAATTCCATAGCATTTTCGAAGAGCAGATCTCATTAATAGGCTTTCAAACATAATAGGATCAAGATTTTGACCATCTTCAATCAATAAATTACTAGAAATATAATCTAAGCACTCAAGAGTCAAATTTTAAAGATTTTTTGGGGATCCTTCAATGATTTATGATAGAGATGGCATTATTATTTAAGTGAATTCAGGATCATTTATCAAAATATCTAGACTAAAATTATTGATTCCTCCTGCATCAGAAATTACTTTTGCTTTCAGAGATTGAATTTATTCAGTAAGCTATTGAAGCAAATTTCCTTCTAATAGTTTCTCACGTTTTAATTCGGGATCAGTAAATATTTAAGGAAGATTATTTCCAAGGGATTTTTACAAATCAAAGGCAAAAATTCTTTTTCTTTTTTGCCAATTTTGATAATTTTAATTATTTTATTTTCTCTCTTCCAATAACCTCAGTTATTCCTCTTCGATTTCTTGTTTAGATTTTTCTGGAATGATTACTTAGTGATCAACATCTTAATGGTTATCAGATTGAATAGATTAAATTTAAATCTCATCATGCTATTAAGCTAAATTAGTCTAAGATTTTTCATCTATTAGATTTGAAACTTATTACTCAGCTCTATCAATCTGTTCATTCTAACTTTTTTGCTGATTTGTTTTTTTGACTGCTGATTTATTTCTCCCTGTGTTTCTACTTTTAGCTCTTTAGACTCTAGACTTTTAACCACTTTTATCATCATTCTAAATAAAGACACCTTCATGATTCTGATCTTTTTCATCTTATTATTCTGCTTGTGCTTCATTAAATTGTTTTTTAGAAATTGACGAATAATTCTGATTCTCTTAATTAATTTTTATTTCTGATTCTATTAGCTATATATCTTGATTACTCTCAATTTGCTACATTTCCTATTCATCGACGGATAATCTCTAGCTTCCTTTAACTTTGCTATTTTAAGGTTTAGCAACTTCATGATCTTTAGATACTCTACTTGATCTCTCAGACTATGAATCATATCTCAACTGAGTTTAATGAGATGTAGATTTTTTATTGAATTTAGCTGATTTGAGGTTAGCAGCTTAAAACTTGGCTTAAGCTTTAGTCACTGTGCCAAATTGAGTCTGACCTTTTTACTCATTTTTGTCATCAAAGCTCTCTCGAAATGACTCTCTATCCTGCGATGTCCTATTTATTTAACCTATATCCTCTTAACTTGATTTTCTCTTGTCTTCATCTCTTATAGCTTGATTCATTACTAAGGATTAGTTCTCAGTACCATTGTCTACTTCTCCAAATTGGCTAATCTCTTCATTATTGATGGCGGAATTTTTGGCAGAAATAACCTTTGATTGTTTAGCCTTTTTGTTTGTTTTGCTTGGCTAGACTTTCTTTTTGGCAGCTCTTGTCATCCTTCCCTAAGTCTGCTATTTCCTTTCATTCTCTAGTTCAACTTCGAGATTCTAGACTTCATCTTGCTCTATTTTATCAGATTTAATCTTAGTTTTTGGCATTTATTCAAATTTAAAACAATTATTAATCTGCTAAAACTTCTGCAATAAATATTCGCGGGGTTTTGGGGTTTTGGGG